CAATAAACAATCAAATCAAATCAAAATCAATTTAAAACTAATGGGTCTATTATCGATATCAACCGAACTTCAGTTGAGTTGGCAGTTGCCGAAACGATATTACAGATGGCATCTGGCAACTCTCAACTGTCAACTGAAGTTTTCACAAAGTGTGTATACTTGCAACTGCATTTTTTGTGGTTGCTGTGGAGGTTAGAAGAGCGTTTTTACTAGCGAATATTTAAAAGTGAGTAAAATATTTTAATTTTTAGCAGTTTTAACGTTACTAAAATTTTGCAATGTATTTTGCTTTTGCAGAATATGGTGAAAATAAATACAAAACAACAATTTGAGATTTTGGTGCAACAAATGGCGCAAAATCCTTCGATTGCTCGTGGTGTACGCGCTTTTGGTGAGACAAAAGCAAATACTGATCATGTTTGGAAGGAAATTTCATCTAAATTAAATAGTTACGGACCGCCAACTCGTACATCCGAAGAATGGCAGAGGGTACAGATACATTTTAAAGCCAAGCTAAAAAAGAAAATGGCACATAATAGGAGAAATATATCCATCACCGGCGGCGGACCATCTCAAGAAATAAGTTTGTCCGCGTTTGTTGGAGCAGGCCGCAGCAGACTTTCGCAGGTCGCACGTTCGGAGCAATTTTACCCCAACAGTCTCAGGACACTGAAAATATTGGGTACATTGAGGAAATTGAAACAATTTTAGAGATAGATACAGATCAACCACAGCAAGAAACGTGTCCTGTAGCAGTACAACCACCCAGGAGAAAGAGGGCTCACGATATCAGATTAGACCTCCTCCAGCAACAAACAGGAACCCAGGGTGAGGTTGTTAATAAGTTGGACAAAATTGAAAGAAAGCTGTCCAGGAGAAATGATCTCTTAAAAGATATACGGGATTTGAAGAGGGAAAAATTAAAAATATTTAAGGAAGCGCATAATTTGAAAAAAAGCACATCAGATGCTTGCTGAAGAGCAGCATTTGAACAAAAAAATTAAACAAAAAAAAAACTGGAGCTCTTAGAAAAACAGATCTCCAATTTAAGTTGAGGCTTTTTATTTATACCTTTATTTTTTTACTATTAAGATCAATTGAATGAACTGTGTTATTTTTTTTTTTTATTTTTAAGAAAAGTGAATTATGTATTTTTTGTTGTGATATAGTATTTTTAACTAAAACCAAAGTGAATTAGGTACAAATATTTTGTATAATTTATCGACGGCTGAGTGGGAGATCGACCTATCTCGGCAGTCTTTTCGAAAACGCCGTATCTCAGTAAAAGTTTGCAATAAAGCCCTATCTGAGATTTTGATTGAAAAACGCCCTATCTCAGAATTTTATTGAATTACACCCAATGCAAATATGTTGAGATAGGGGCCTTTGAATCGAATTCTGTAATAGGGCGTTCTTCAATCAAATTCTGAAATAGAGCTTAATTGGAAAGTTTTCTGAGATACGGCGTTTTCGAACTGGCTGCCGAGATAGGACGACCTTTCATTCGACCGTCGATATGTGATATATTAGTTTTAAGGAATACTGAATGAAAAGTTGAAATACACCCATGCAAATATGTTGAGATAGGGCGCTTTTGAATCGAATTCTGAAACAGGGCGTTCTTCAATCAAATTCTGAAATAGAGCGTTATTGGAAAGTTTTCTGAGATATGGCGTTTTCGAACTGGCTGCCGAGATAGGACGACCTTTCATTCAGCCGTCGATATGTGATATATTAGTTTTAAGGAAAACTGAATGAAAAGTTGAAATAAAATGAGTTGATTTCATACCTGAAAATTAAAAAAACATGAAGAACGCTAAAAAAATAAATATGTTGTTTACTTTTAATAAAAGAATTTAAAATGAAATACTTTATTAAACTAAAAGATTGTTTTATTCATTTGAACATTGCATTACATTATATCTTATATCAGAGGCTACGGTGTTAACATTCTCGGTTACATTTGGACTTGCAACTTTCCTACGAGATTGTCGGACCTTCCTCCCAGTCTGCTTTATAGTGTAAACCAATATTATACAACGCGCAACATGCATTTATTATAGACCCAGCTTTGTCTGGTTTATAGTGCAGGCCCCTTTCAGTAGAAAGACATCTAAATATAGACTTAAGGACGCCATTTGTCCGCTCTATCACATTTCGGGCTTTAGAATGGATTGTATTGTATTTAGCTTCAGGTGATTGAGGTTCCGCTGAACGAAAAGGGGTCAAAAGATGTGGTTCTAATGGAAATCCAGAATCACCTAGGTAGTTTAGAGTTAAATCAAAAGGTTTCATAATTATTAACGAAATACAACCTAGAAGCCAGGTGTTCGGACCAAAATCATCAGCAACCATTTGTTTTAAATCACTATTGTTCCAAATAAAAGCATCATGAGTAGATCCTGGATGCCTAGCATCAACATACCGTATCCGCATTTGGTAATCGCACATATACAAAAAAAAAAAAAAAATGAAATTTCATACAAAATAACCATACAAGATAACATAACTCACCAGTAAAAAATTCAAACTAAATTATCCTTTTCTGTTCATATATAAATGGCGAACATCCTCCTTTGGTCCCATTATATGCACATGTATCCCATCTATACATCCAACAACACCAGGATATTTCCTTTTCGAGTAAAAGAAGTTCTTGTTTCTGGATTTCTCTTCCTCGGTAATTTTTTCAGTAATCCATTGGTTAAAAATTTTTTCCTCAATCAGGTGAAGCATCTCTTTTAAAACAACCGACATCGTAGGTTGCGCCAGTCCCAAATTGAAGTCATTGCCATGAGACTTCAGAAAACTTCCTTCTGAAAAAAATCGGAGAGCTGCGCAAACTTTTATTAGCGGAGGTACTGCACTTGAACGATGATACCGCCTAAAGTCATTCCTCAATGTATTTACCAAATATAATACAGCTTCTTTTGGAAGTCGGAAATATGCTTTAAATCTGAAAACAAAAAGAATCACAATAAAAAGTCTTCCAGGCGTTAACTTTTGGGAAATGTTTAGTTATTGGTACAATGAACTTGTTGTGTGGAGTGCAGGGAGAGGGGCCGTTGCACCTAAAACCCCACCCATTACAAAGAGCACAGTCCAAACTTTTATTGTCAAAGGTATACAACATTCCTTGTGCTTATAATTCCGGCTACGCCATCCACAGTACTTTTGCGCAGAACCCACATAGAAATTTACAAAAAAGTAGATTAAAATTTCATCATTTGACTCACGTATATGTTAAAGTTTTTAGATTCCGGTAACGCGTTTGAACACCACAACTTAAAATCATTGTACAAATAACTAAACCGTATCCTAACTTTTACTTACAGCGCCGGCCGCAGCTCTATAGGATTGGAATTATCCCTTAAATGTCGCCTGATTGATGCTGCGTTCGTACACTCCTCCTCTTCAAAAAATAGTTCTATTGAACTAACCATTGTAGCAAGACTTATTATTAAAAACTCTATATTAATAACTTTATTTCGCTTTTATTTTGCGATTATTTTGCTTGTTTACAATCCTGCGCTGGTTGACGAGCTGTCAAATTTCAATTATCGATAACTTTTCAGCGACTGCCGATAGTTGCCATTCGTAATACAAATTTTCTTCGCAGTTGCGTTGCAAGCTGCCAACCGAACCATAGTTGCGTTGCTATACATAATCGAGCCATAAACTCTTCTGTCAAGCGTTATACAAGGTCAGCATTAATATCACCGATGACAGTTAAGTCGTAGGTGGATTTTTATATCAGAATCTCATTGTGGGAAAAGTTCAGATAGAGGGTATTGAATATAAGCTCTCGATATGTATAAATATGTAGTCATAAGTGGGCAGTGTCATGTCTATTTTCCAAAAATTTATAATAATCTCATTTACTGCTAAGATATTCTTAATGTCCGGTTAAACACGGTTTTCCACACATTTTGCTGTCAAAATGCGAAATCGAAAGTCTACTTTCCCGTGTAAACAGGGAGCCACGTCTGACAGCTAATTTACAAATAGCGATTTTGAGTGAATTGGATTTAGCAGTTACTGATTTATCGCAGTGTTCGTATTTCTGTAAATTATCGTTATATGGGAGGTGAGTGTGGTTATTGTCCGATTGTAAAAATGTTCAACCTTTTCTATATGGGACCAAAGTCAACAAATGTACAAACTTTGGTATAAATTAGTAAATCGGGGCCCATTTTTCAAGAAATTATAATAAACTTATTTGTTACTGAGAGTGAGTTACCGTTACATTGGAAGTAGGCGTGGTTGATAGTTTTAAGGAAATCGCCATATTTATTCACATAGTCGGATATGGATTTCTTAAATTAATGCAAGCTTGTTATTGTTCATGGAATCATGAAAATGCGAAATTAGCAATTTTCTTATGGCCTTGCCAAAACCATATTTGTTAAGAGACTTAAGACATGTTAAAAAATATTGAAACAAAAATTTTTAAGAGGAAATACGCTGCACATAAGCTAATAAAAATATGAATGTGTAAGCGTAGAGAGCTAAACTAAAATACAAAAGACAACAACTATGATTACTTTTTGCTATTTGTAACCTCTGGACCCGACAACATATCGATAGGCCTTGAGCGGCATTCACAGGGAGTCAGTCTCAACTTAAGTAGACTCCTGACCTGTGAATGCCGTTCTGGGCACACAACCACCTGACCTGGACGAGACAGAGCTTCGTCTGCTTCGGGAGGCTCGGACCTTTGCATACTAGATGCGGATGTGCTTAATGAGTGCCCGGCATGCGAAGATACACCTCGAAACATCTCTTCGCATGCCCACTAAACCCCACTCAACTAACGCCTCTGTTCCTTTGGACATACCCTATAGAGGCTGCACGCTTCTTGGGTCTACCGTTAGTTGAGCTTGAGGCCAACGATTGAGGGACTAGCCGATCTGGGCGGGGTTGTTGTAGCCGCTACAACATCAAGAACAACAAGTTTTTGCTATTAATGGTTAGCTTGCTTGGTGTTATTCATCATCAGAAGGACTACAAATTGTTACCTGTATGTATCAAGACCGATAGAATACAAGATTGGCTTGATTGATGTGAAGTTCGGGAAAGTAACGTGAATATGACGTCATCGCAGTTTTCCAAATTTTTATTCAGAATACATATTTAGAAAATTTTCGGGAAAATTTTCAGATAAAAAAAAATTTTGATCAAGTGTTATATGGAAGAAACTGCGCAACAACCTCCACAAAAAAAATCTAAAAAACCAACAGTAATTTTTAACGACTTGAGACTTGCACTTTCTTAGACTGTAATTGAATGGGCTACAGAACTGCATACCCGAAAATTTTCTAAATATTCCGATTAAAAATTTGGAAATTTTGATGAAAATTTTTTGAAGTTTGATTAATTGTTTTTGCAATTTCTGCAAGCTTTGAAACTTTTATTATTGTGGTTTCTGTTACAGATTGAACTATATTTTAAATGAAAATTATATAAAAAAAGAAATAAACATAATTTGCAAACAATATCATTTTGAATTTCGTTTCTAACTAGATGAACGCAGGGTATATGTATATTAAACAGGCAATAAACAAAATCAGCTATGACGTCACACTTTTGTCAAAATTTTCAAGAAAGAGTTAACGGTATCACAATCAGCGCCACCTTCTGTATTCGTTTCACCATGTGTATGATTCTATAAAATTTTGCGTTTTTAAGTTGGGGAGCAATAATAATAATTTTTCTGCTAAACAGTTGGTAACTTCCATCTGTCCTGCTTATGCCTGTATATCGATTGGTTTCGGGAATTGTAATTTCATGAATTTTTGGTTTATATAAAACTTCATTTTAATTAAATGTTTGCTTTTACTTTTAGTAAAACGAATTCGTGAACGAACAAAGATGTCTCGCTTTGGATTACGAAGTAGTTCGGATATTTTCAAAGCATCTGAGGAGCAGGCAAATCGGAAGAAATCAGGCACCGATAATAAAATAGCATTAAAACGAACAGGTCAAAGAAAAACGAAAGGTGTATGTGTGGAAATAGATGAAAAGTTTAACGAGTCGCGCAGTCAAAAGGACGTGAATCAGCCCTCTGTTTCTATTGTATGCAGTTTGCCACTAAATCGGTTAACGGGGTTTATAGAAAAGCTTAACACAAATAATTTGAACTTTGAAATAAAAAATCAACATAACCAGAAAACTAACTTTTATGAAGAGAAATTAGGAGAGAGAGTAAATTGGTGCGAAAAGCAAACAAATAGAACTGCCTATGACAATGCTGGTTCAAATCATCAGGAATTCGACGAGTGCACTTCATCTTTGGAAGAGAGTGTCCGAATTCTTTGTTTGTACTGTGATAAAAAGTTCACGTCCTATAAAATGCAGCTGAAACATGTAGAGAAGTTTCATATCCAAAATAAGAATCGTAGATGTAGTGGCCGCAATTCACAAATGTCAACGCTTAGCGATTCAAAGAAACAACGAGTAGAACCTTGTAGTGTTGCATTAGCGAAATATCCCGGATGTACATATTGCAAACGATCTAAGACTCTTCAAATAGAAGCGTCAACGAGAGACTTAAGTGGACTTTTTTTTCATTTTATTGAATGCCATTCGGATAAGTATTTCGGATGCAAGAGGTGCGAGCAACGTTTTCAGAGCGGTGTAAAATTGTCTCAACACATGCAAAGTGTGCATAAAGATATATCCATTTTACAAGATGACAGTTCAAAAAACAAAGATGATTTGACAGTATTGCTTGAAAAGGAGGAATTTGAAAAGAATAGCAGAGAAAAAGGAAGGAATTCAAAAGCACGATGTTCTAAATCACAAAAAAATACAAATGTTATGAGCATTGTAGCTGCAATCCCGGAAGATCTTAGTCCCACTAATTCCAACACAATAATGGGTGCGGAAGAACCCATTTTGTCCAGATTAGGTCTTGCCCAAAATAGACTGCCGAATAGCAGGAAAGGCGTTCGCTCGCGAAAAGACAGTATTTTGTCAGATTCGATCTTGAAAACTGATCAACCATCTGTTTATATGTCAGCTGTGAAAGCTCGTAATAAATCTGGAAAAAACGCGATTAGAGAAAGTGGCGATGCTGAGGTAGTTTTTCGTATGCCGACAAGGACGGAAATATTATCCAGTGTCTTCGATGAAAACTTTTACAGAGATGTCCTTTCAAACGTACGAAATAATCTTTTATACTTTTTGGATGGAAAACTTCTGGGAAATGTTGGCCGTGCCATTAATGTAAGTTCAAACAATTCGATCGTAAAACATCAAATACCACCCATTCAAAGTACATTAGCTGAAAGTCCTATAGTTCTGGCCGGTATTAATGATCTGAATAGTGAGATTCACGCCGCAACAAGTCTTTCGACAATCACAGCTTTTCCAACACTCTTAACGGCAGAACAATACGGAGGTGATGCAACTTTATCA